AAATTCAAGCACACAAAATAGGAAGTAATGTACTGGCACAAATTATCAATTGGCCCAAAGACAGAAAATTGAGAATTGGAATAACTGCCTTATCCTTATGTTGGCAAGATGTGACGAGTGGAGTACTGTAAGGTCCATTACTCGGGCTCCAACTGTCCACGATATATATGAATGATTTAGAGCTGGGGACATAATATAATATTTCCAAATCGGCAGATGATGCAAAGCTAAATGTGAATGTATGCTTTGAGAAGAATGTATGGGAACCTGAGGAGGATTTGGACGAATTAGCGAATGGGCAAAAACATGGCAGCTGAAATAAAATGTGGAAAAATGCAAGTTCATCCATATTGGGTAGAGAAACAGACATGCAGAGTATCTTTTGAATGGTAAAGAGGTTGAAAAATATAGAAGTACAAAGGGATCTGATCGTTATTGCTAAGTCAATGAAGGCTAACATGCAGGTGCAACAAGCTAACCGGAAAGCTAATGGAATATTAGCATTTATTGCAAGAGGATTAGAGCTCAGGAGCACTGAGATCTTGCTTAGGAGCTTGGGTAGACTGCAACTGGTGTACTGTGTACAGTTATGGTCTTCTTATTGCAAAGAGGTTATTGTTGCCATAGAGAAGGCGCAACGAAAGCTCACCAGATGTGTTCCTGGCGTGGCAGAGCTACACCCTGAACAGAGATTAGGAAACTGGAAACAGGCAAATGTTTCACCTGGTGGAGGAGTTTAGAACTATGAGGTACACCTTAAACATAAGGGGAATGCCACTTCAAGAGATTTCTTTTTTACCGAAAGTATTGTGAACCTCTACTGCAAAGGGCCCTGTAAGTTTAGTCTTTCCATATGTTTAATAAAGAGCATTTTTTTAAATTTCTGATTATTGATAGTGTACAGGGTTAGGCAGATGGAGTGTTAAAAGGCATTGAAGTGTTCAATCTGCCATGATTGTATTGAATAGCAGGGCAATTCAACAGGCTGAATGACTTACTCCTGTTCTTATGCTCACAAATTTACACTCATAGTATGGAAGTGAGCACACTATGGTATCTCATGTGGCCATGGAGTTGTGACACAACATGTCCATACAGGTAAATTAGATATATAAAAAATAAAACAGGGTCCTGTATGTTAATATATTTAACTTCTAGCTCAAAAAAATGATTAGTGAGCCCAAATAATAATCCTATATTAGTTTCCATTGTGATTCTGAGCATAGTTTGGATTATTTGGTAAATGTTGTCCCACAGCAGAACTACACTTAATGTGCTCTGAGGCTTACGAGTGCAGTATAATCTATACACTGCCAACTGTCGCTGTCAGTGGAATGCATAGTTTGGTGTCCTGCATCAATCACTGGAATGTACAGCCTACATATCTGGTACCTGGAGGTTGGGATAGAAAAACGGGACAGAATGAGCAGAAATTGTTTTCATTGTTTAAGCCTTACTTTTTAAAATAGCATTTAAAATATTTTAGTAATAAATCGACTCTTAACTCACTATTCTTGTGTCAAGGGCAGCATGTTGACTCAGTGCTTGGCACTGCTGCCTCACAGCGCCAGGGACCTGGGGTCAATTCCAACCTTGGGTGACTGGCTGTGTGGAGTTTGCACATTCTCCCCATGTATGCCTGGGTTTCTTCCTGCAGTCCAAAGATGTGCAGGTTAGGTGAATTGGTCATGCTAAACTGCCCATAGTATCCAGGGATGTTTAGGTTGGGTGGATTAACCATGGGGATTGAGATAGTTTAGGGGGTGTGGGTCTGGGTGGGATGTGTTCGGAGAGTCAGTGTGGACTTGATGGACTGAATGGCCTGCTTCCACATTGAAGGGATTCCATGATTTAGTCCAATAGGTTAGTCATGTCCCCGCTAGATGTAAGAGTCTATAGCATACAGGCATTAACATTATTTCAACAGTGTCGCATACAGTCATTATCAACCATTTCAAGAACAGGTCCGTCGATTCATTTAACCTCAGCTTTACCCAATTCATTTTCAGAGATCCACCTCTACTACAGAATTTTGTTTGATTGCAACATAGATCAATAAGTTGAATGTGGTGCTCAGTGTGTTCTATAATCCAATAATTAAGATTTTAAAAATCAAGAATGAGATAAAACGTATGCATTAATCTTTATGTTTAGTCCATGTACCAGTTAAGCAAGACTCATCCTGGGAGGAGATAACTCAAAAATATATCCGAGTAACATATCTAAATCAAGGAGGCTGATAATAGCAGCAACTATTATTCCTTATGCCTACAAATTCTAAATTACTTCACAACCCATTCATCTCTTTTGAGCTGTGATGTAAGCAAACAAAACAGTCAATTGAAAAAGAAAAGGGTCCTACACATTAGATAAATCACCAATTCATCTGTTAATGGTGCTTTTGGTTAATTGATGCTGCAGAAAGACCTAAATAAAAGGATATTACAGCCAATTTTCATCTCAGAGTTTTGTTGGTTGGTTTCTACAATGCCATGTGTTTTTCTGGTGATACCATGAAGCAGGGCTCATGCTAATACCTGAATGACCACATGAACTAATGAGATTGAAGCTTAATAATAGACTGATCAACTAAATGATGTGACTTCCAAAATTGGCATTAATCGAGCCAACATATTCATTTCTCTCAGCTACAATGTATATATCTGTGTGACATCGCAATTAGTGCAGACTGATATGGCTGCATTGTTGTTCCTTAATTCAATAAATTATAACATAGGTAGAAAAAATAAGTTAAAGATGCCTGGATCCATTAATATACTCATTAAAACTGCAAGGAAATGTGACAGTGCATAATACTGTGGCATCTAAATATTAGAATTTGTAAATTTAAAAAAGTCCAAATAGATCTTAATAGTGTGTATTTCTTAGCAGCAAAAGTGTGCCTTGCGTGTCTTTGCCTCTCACAGTCTATCAAAGTTTTATTCTGTCTTGTTGGATTGAAATTATAAAGTTATTGGCTTAATCAATCACATGTACAGTAATGATGTCATTTATCTCAGGGAGGTCGCTAATGGCAGGTGATGATCATTAATCTTTAATGACGTGTTGTTTGCATAGTCACAAGAGATAGCTACTTAAATGCTTTCCTTCTATAGACAGGAATGATTTCCGAAAACTTGATTTTAACCCTGCAGATTGTAGTTAAAGTAGTTATCTTTTCTAAATAGTAAAGTCACATTCTCATCACACAGGTAGGAAAATAATGCAGCCAGAGAAAGATTGCGTGCGTTGAAACGCACAGCATTGATGTTTAGCTACTGCAGTCATCCTACCTGCGAGATCCTTCTAATATGCCCGATCAGTCTGCACCACTGTGCACTGCCCTCAAAAGAGCTGTGGAGGAGTTGAGACTGTCACACATATCTTTCTGGAATGAGCCTTTGCAAAGGAAGTGTGGAGAAAGATGCAGTGTTTTTTGCTGAGGTTCGACCTGAGCAGCTCAGTGATGTGGGACTCTGTGCTCTACGGTCTATTCCCCAGGACGCACACCAAGACAAACATCGACTGCACCTGGAGGACCATCACCTCCGTGAAAGACGCTCTTTGGTCTGCCTGAAACTTGTTCATGTTCCATAGCAAGGAGTTGACCCCAACCAAATGTTACAGATTGGCATATTCTAAGATCCAGGACTACGTGCAGGGATGAGCTAAAGCTTGGGGCAGCTGCCACCAAGGTGGACTGGTGAACCATCTATGGTCTTTTTGCTAAAGTAAAATGGAGGTCCATTGAGTTATTGGACCCTCCCAGCGCTTCAAATGTATGTAATATAATCTTGTACCAGTAAGAAGTGCCTTGGTTTGTTTGCTGGGTAGCTCCAATGTTTGTTTCTTCATACGCTACTGTACAGAATTGAACTGTTTTAGTGACAGTGTATGTAGATAAAGATATTTTTATGAATAAAGTATATTTTTTAAATAAAAACGTCATCATTATCCCGTGTGTTTAAATTGTTTCCATTTCCCTTTATTCTTCTTTCCCACCTATCTGAGCCAATTTCAAACCTTAATATGGTCTCCACTTCATGCATTCCACAGCCATACAAAATTTTCTATTTTTCTTTTAAAATTCCTCACATTTGTCTTTGACCCAGTATAGGCCAATAACTTTTCAAAAGAAATATAAATTTCTGGTTAATAGCTAACAAGAGTTTACATTTCAAAACCACCATTAACTAAACAATTTTGAAGGCAAGCTGTAATTTAACACATGGAACAGAACTTTTAACTCAATTTTTTTTTTAAAAAAGCCATTATTAGGTCTGTATTACACTGTCCATTAAGTAGACATTTACATTTCTCAGAATCAGTCCAAAATTATTGTGTTATTTTGATTTTATATCTGATTCTTTCTTTCTCAGCCTGGAAGCGTGTAATTCTATAATGGTCTTTCAGAGTGTGGATTTTCCTGGAGACTTCTCCCTCTAGATGAAGTTGGACAAATCTTCCAGCTTCATTTCACTCCCGCAGGAATTCGACTGTAAGCTCCCATCTACCTTCACATGGAGTGAAACATGGCATCCTGCTCCCAGTAGCTGCTCTCCCTTTCCTGCGTCCTGGCATTCTGATTTATGAACGTCTGGCTTATGGACATTCATACTTACAAATCCAATCCCATACAGGTCTGTAACGTTTAAAATCTGACATACGAGCACTTCCTATACTTACGAATAGTTGCTTTTCATTCTCCTGCACTGTGCGTACAAACTGACTTGCGAACAGACTCGGGAATGGATCCCATTCGAAACTCGGGAACCATCTGTATGTTTGTGCATTCTCATGGATATCCTAGAATCTCTTCTGCTCTCGAAGCACATTTCCATGGTAATGTCAATCACATGGGCTTTGAAACAATCAAAGTACGGCTTAGCTATCCTTGAGAGACAAATACTCTTTCATCTTGGAAAAAAAATGAATGGCTTAAATTACAGCTGTTTACAATCTGAAATTCTCAACACATTTCTAGGACTTTAGAGACTTACATGCTGCTGCCCAGGGGTCCAAGCGGAAACACTTTCTATCATCCTCTGGGTCCCCTTTAAACAGTAACAAATGCGGTCAGGCAGGCATTCAGAACAAGTTACGTGACCCCCTTCATTTTACCTTAAATTAAAGCCACAGTCCCAACACATAATACTTATAAACCTCTAAATTGGAACACAATTTACAGTTTCCTTATTATGGATTCCCACACTATTGAAAAAGTCTGTTTCTATTTATTCAGCCAATCTCTTTTTTGTACTTTAAATTATGCTGTCAAATTGCCTTGTAACACCCTCAAATAGCCCCAGTTTTTCCAAGTCAAATGATTCTTTCCATTTAGCCCCATCATTCAGGTAAGTTTGAAAGCGTGTATAATAACTGACCATCTTAAAGATGGCTTTGGTAACTATCCCATGGCAGAAACTAACCAGAGATTGGGATGCCCTATGCATATCTATAGTGAATCTCTGGAATGTCTGTGAGGTGTAGAAATTGCAGTGACCTTTGTTACAACAGGTAATGGATGACTACCTTTTCCCATGGGGCTCTGCTCCACCTCGACCATGGCACAAAACTCAGTGACCACTTCCTGAAGAGGCACGCATTCGGTGACACTGATGCAGAGTCCTTGAAGACAGATGTTTCTCCGATGGTTACACCTTTTATGGACACAAATGCCTGACTGTTTAACTCTTTACACCCTCCTTCTCTCTTACCCCTTCCAGGCTCATAATCCTGGTACCTGTTTGGGAGCTGCTTGCCTACTCCATGAAACGTCACTTCTCCCCATCTCTGAAGCTTACAGGGCGTCTTAAAAACTTGACTGAATGAGGTAACACAGTGCGGAGCTGGAGGAGCACAGCAGGCCAGGCAGCATCAGAGGAGCAGGAAAGTTGACATTTCAGGTCTTTTCGGTGCTTTGAAAAGGAGGGAAATTTCACAGAGTTGTTTGCAGTTTGGGAAAACAAGTGAAGCGAAATCTACACATGATACAATATGACACCTGATAAACTTTCACTGCCTTTCTTATCGAGAATCTATCCACCTCTAAGTTAAAATTATTCAAAGACTCTCTATGTCCAACACCTTTTAAAGGAAGAGAATTCCAAAGATTCTCAAACCTCAGAAACAAAGATTCTCCTCATCTCTGTCTTAAGTGACGGGTCCTTATTTCCTTTTTAAATGGCATTCCCTAGTTCTACATTCTTCAGCAAGATGAAACATCCATCCTGTCAAGATTCCCTGAGATTTAAATATATTTCAATCAATTTCTTCCTCTTCTAAACACCATCAGATTCAAGCCTAACATATCCAACCTTGCATCCCAACACATCCCAACCATTCCAGCATTAGTCAGGTAAACCTTCTTTGAATTGCTTCCAACATACTTACATCCTCCTTTAAATAAAGAGACTATTATTGTGCACAGCACTTCAGATGTGGTCTCAACAGTGCCCTGCATAATAATTGAAGCAAAATCTCCACAGTTTTGTATTCATTCTCCTCACAATAAACAATAACATTCTGTTAGCTTTCATAATTACTTGTTGTACCTGCAGACGTTACAACTAATCGCTGGGTGAGGTACACCGATTTATTACAAATCCAGATGAAATACTTCAGCTCTGAGTTGAGGAATGAGGAACGATCTCACCTTCATTATTCATCCACCCCTCAGCTGATTGCAACAAAGTTAATATAAGAAAGGATCTCTTCCGCTATGGATATCATTCTCCTAAATGAATTTAAGTTTTATAAGGAACAATTTAACCATGTTTTCATGGGTGAGTTCATGGGTTTTCTAAATATAAGAAATAAATATTAACTCAACACTGCCAATGCAAGTATCTTCTCCCTCCACCACTGATGTTCGTTTGCAGCAGTGTGTACTATCTACAAGATGCACTACAGAAATTCACCAAAGATCCTCAGACTGCACCTTCCAAACCCACAATCACTTCTATGTAGATGGACAAGGGCAGCAGATAAATGGGAATGCCACCACCTTCAAGTTCCCCTCCAAGCCACTCACCATCCTGACTTGGAAATATATCAGTGTTCTTTTGCTGTCACTGGGTCAACATCCTGGAATTCCCTCCCTAATGGCATTGTGGGTTAACCCACAGCAGGCGGACTGCAGTGATTCAAGAAGGCAGCTCACCACCACCTTCTCAAGGGCAACTAGGGTTGGGCAGTAAATGCTGGTCAGCCAGTAATGCCCACATCCCGTTTATGAATTTTAAAAATACAGAATACAATTGAGAAGTGAGTACCAAAAAAAAGATAAACGTTAAAAATGAAATATGAATCAGTCTCCAAGTTCCATGAAGAGTAGACAATGGGATACTACATTATATTGGGTGATGGCAGTAGCACTAATGTTGGTAGATGAGCTGTTGGTTTTATGACATTTGATTTGGAAAGGCCATTGTTCCTTTTAACAGTGCTATCCCTTACTTTCTGGCAAAAGAGAGAGGGAGACTATTCTTTTTAAACTGCAGTGGGGCTTTCTCAGCTGCGACCTCACAGCATATACCTTGCGCAGTAGCACCCAGAGACCAGTGTTTAAACTTACCTTTGCCCCTATTCTTGAAAAGAGAAATTGTGATATCCAGATTGCTGTCATTGCTCCCATCATGTTCACAATCTGAGATAACTCACAGGAAATTACAATTCAGCTTGCACTTAATTTCTCTGTATGAAGTCCTTTTCTTTGAGGTTTCCTTGACATCCATCATGAGTGACATTCCAGGTTCTCCCACAAAGCTGAGGATAATCCATACTAGCCTCCTAGATAGTCACTGAAACATATCACTCAGAATTTACAGTCTCAGTTTCTTTGGCTGTGTCACCTCATTTTATAAAATACAGATAATTAAAGAAGTTCAACATCTCCATAGGTAATCCAGGGTTATAGAACCATAGAGCTAAACAACATGGAAACAGACCCTTCAGTCCAACTCAGCCATGCTGACCAGATATCCTAAATTAATCCAGTCCCATTTGCCAGTATTTGGCCCATATCCCTGTAAACCCTTCCTATGCATATACCCATCCAGATGCCTTTTAAATGTTGTAATTGTACCAGCCTCCACCACTTGCTTTGGCAGCTCATTCCATACACACACCACCCTCTGCATGAAAATGTTGCCCCTTAGGTCCTTTTTAAACCTTTCCCCTCTCACCTTAAACCTATGCCGTCTAGTTTTAGACTCCACTAACTTGGGGAAAAGGCCTTAGCCATATGTATGCCCCTTGTGATTTTATAAACTTCTATAAAGCCATCCCTCAGCCTCTGACACTGCAAGGAAAATAGCCCCTGTCTATTCAGCTTTTCCCTATAGCTCAAATCCTCCAATCTTGGCAACATGCTTTTAAACCTTTTCTGAACCCTTTCAAGTTTCACAACATCCTTCCGGTAGCAGGGAGACCAGAATTGAAAGCAGTATTCCAAAAGTGGCCTAACAAATATCCTGTATAACCACAACATGACCTCCCAACTCCGATACTGAATACAAGCTATCCAATAAATGAAAGCCTACCAAGCCCCTTCTTCACTATCCTGTCTACCTGAGGCTCTATGATCTGTCATCATGACAATACTAACCTTTTGTGATTAATATACTAGGATACTTAGATCCCTGCGCAATCCCCCATCTTTTCATAACATTATTTGATTCTTTCAAATGGTGAAAGGGGAAAAAGAACATTTAGAAAGCACCTTTTAGTCTAAATGCATGCAAAGTGTTCCATAGATGATGAAGTATAACAAGGTGCCACATATGGCATTGAAATAATTGAACAGACTATCTGAGACAACAAGGTGCAGGGCTGGATGAACACAGCAGGCCAAGCAGCATCATTCTACTCAGCTTTATTGGACACTAAAAACCGTAAGTACAGTAAACTGAGACAACAAGGTGCAGGGCTGGATGAACACAGCAGGCCAAGCAGCATCATAGGAGCAGAGAG